ATCTCCTCTGTCTCTCTCTCTCCTTGCCTCTGCCCCACCCCCAGCCTGCAGATCCTAGATGTAGTTCTCACCTAGTACTCCAGCACAAAGCATGCCACCATGCTCCCTGCCGTAATGATAATGGACTACGCAGCTGAAAAGTAAGCAAGCCCCTAATTAAATGTTTTTCTTTATAAAAGTTGCCTTGGTCATGGTGTCTCTTTACAGAGATAGAACAGCAACTAAGATATAGAATGAACACAGAGATTTCAAAGAAGAAACACAAATGCCTGAGAAACAGACCTTACATGTTAAGTATCCTCAGCTATGAGGAAAATGAACATTAAAACTAATGTGAGATTTCATCTTACAAGTCAGAAAGGCTAAGTTTTGGTTTTTGTTTAAAAAAAAAAACAGAAGAGAAAAATAATAAATGCTGGCATGAATGTGGGGAAAGAAACAGTCCCTCACTGCTGGTGAAAGTGTAAACTTGTATAGCTACTATGGAAATCAAGGTGGATATTCTTCAAAATGCTAGAAATGATCCTGAGCATAGTCCCAAAAGACCCTATATCCTAGTACAGAGATAAATGCCCATCCATGTTCATTTCCGCTCCATGTACAACAGCTAGAACATGGAAAAGGCCTAGATGCCCATCAACTCATGAGTAGATAATGAAAACGTGGTCCCTACACACAATGGAATTTTATTCAGCTACAAAGAAAAATTAAAAGTTTGGGGAAATGGATGGAATTGGAAATAATCATTCTGAATGAGGTGACCCAGACCCAGAAAGACCAATGCTGCATGTTCTGTCGTATACATGGATGCTAGCTTTGCCTCTATAGATACATGTGTTTAAATTGGGAGTGCCCACAGAAGGCAGGAAAGTAGTCAAGGGCTGTGGGTTTGTGCATCTCAAGGGAAGAGGAATAGCGTGCACATACTATGAAGCAGAGAAAGGGGTAATGGAATAGGAAAGTTAAATGGAGTTGGGGATGGGAGGGCAGGGTAGAGGAGGGAATGCTGGGGGGGATAACTAAACTATAGGCCCTTGAAAATGACAAATGAAAATCTGCCACCATAGAAACTTCATAAAATATAGGCATATACATATATATAAGGAATTTAAATGGAGTTACACTATAAAGAGGAAACAATGCCCCTCTCAGATACCATAGACTGTCTATAGAATAAAACCCACTGCCAGGTATGGGTTACCTCTTTTTGAAATGTTGATCAGTGGAGTACCATAGACTTCCTCCAAACACTACAGATGATTGCCATTTTTCTAAGTTATTCTCTGGAATCTGATAGAAAGACCCAATGCTGGAGATACCACCTACTTGTTTCATGGTTCATGGAGAAATGAATCCACCTGAAGGAGTCTATGCATGCTACCAGAAGTAATCAACAGTCTTACCCAGCTGTGACTCCTGAGAGCTACTGTAATGACGGGTCACGAAACGTCCACCGGTGCAACAGTTAAATCCTACACCACAAGATTGAGCTCATGTCCACTCTTGTTAACTGGTCCCAAATCTACGCCTGGCTAGGTCCTAGGCCCTAAGGGAAACCTTAGTACTATTAATGTGCTAAATGGACACAGTGACACAATTCCCTCCACATTCTTATCTTCATCCCCAGAGGTGAATGTGTCTCTCAACCCCCATCAGAGAAACTTCTTTGGCAGTAGATGGTGATGAATACAGTGACTACACTGGCCAAGATGCAAAGCATAAGAGACTGTGAATGCTCAGCTCTAACTGAGACATATATGCCACATTCTCTCCTTTCCAAGTCTTGGGGACCATGGTGGGAGAGAAAGAGGAAAGACGGCAAGGGCCATAGTGGTGGACATCTGCATGCAGCAAAGCAGTCTCGTCTGGACACAACAGGACTGCTGCACACACGAACTCAGAGCAGCAGTGACGACATGCACAAGACCTGCACACGATCAAGCCAGTCAAAGTCCCAGCCAGAACGGGAGAAGGGGCTGTCCTAGGTAGTGTTTCTCTCATCGTGATGAAACACCATGACCAAAAAGCAAGTTGGAGAGGAGAGCGTTTATTGGGCTTACACTTCCACATCGCAGTCCATCATAGAAGAAAGCCAGGATAGGAACAGGGCAGGAACCTGGAGGCAGGAGCTGACGAGGAGGCCAAGGAGGGGTGCTGATTATTGGTTTGCTCCCCATGGCTTGCTCGGCCTGCTTTCTTACTCAGCCCAAGACCACCAGCCAAGGCGTGGCCCCACTCACAAGGGGCTAGGCCCTCCCCTATCAATCACTAATTAAGAAAATGTCCTGCAAGTTTGCCTACAGCCTGATCTTCTGGAGGCATTTTCTCTTCTCAGATGACTTTAGCTTGTGTCAAGCTGACATGAAACTCTCCAGCACGGGGGCTCACAGACTACCACCCCCAGATGAGGAGCTATTGGCAACTAATGGCTGCTGGGGGAAGGAGAATCAGTTTTCTTTAGGGATGCAGTCGTTGAAAGGCTAGCCATACTCCAGAAGATGGTCTTATACCCATTTCCATACAAGCATCACTAAGAGACTTGACATGTCTTAAAAAAAGTACATGAAGTGTAGAGGAAGACGTGATGGAAGAGGCACAGGGAGACGATGGAAGGAGGGATATGGAGGTGGATCTGATCAAAACATACGTGTATATATGATACCTTCAACAATAAAAAATTTTAATAATAAAAATATTTTTGTGTGATATAATTGTAGTACATGTTCCCTCTTTTTGTACTAATTATCGATAATGAAAATCCATGTGAAACAAAGTTGACCCTCTTTTCTTTTGAATCAAGTTGTTATTAGCATAAAATAAAGAAAATGGGTGATAAAATCCGCAGAAATAAAAATTCAAGGTAGATGAAGAAGAGTGCAGTTGGCATTATTCTTAAATCATTAAAGTGTAAATGTAATATTTTGAATTTCAAAAAGGTTTAGGATGCACCACGGGTACCTGAAGTCCAAGGTACAGTGCTGTACTTTCAGTATGATTTTTCGGAGAGGTTTTCATGCAATTATAGTCAGGTCAAACAATGGTTGAAGAGACTTGAAATGCTAAAGCTTACTCAGTTAGCTCTTTCTCTAACACTGTAGTCCTCCTTGCTTCTCGGCGCAAAGCACGGAGCAGAGAATGTACTGAGCTGATCAGTTTTCTCCTTGCTTTTTCCTGATCCTCAGACTTTGGAAAGAAATTAACAGAAAGTTATTTTTTTTTAAATAAGAAGACTTGCTCATCTTTGTTAAAACATAGCAGGACTCCTGTAACCCCACTCATACCCATTTCTAACTCCTACTGTAAAAGTAGAGTTTAAGAAAGCCAATCTGTGTCCATCTGTTTATAAGTATTAACACAAATAATGAGCAGTATCTACTGAAAATGAGAGCTTGGAGTAAGTTTTTGTTTGTTTGTTTGTTTGTTTGTTTGTTTGTTTTACTTTTATTCTTCAATCACACATTATATTCCAACTGCAGTTTCCCCTCCCTCCACTCCTTCCAGCCCACCCTCCACCTCTTTTCTCCCCCCAGATCAACTCCTCCTCTCAATTTTTTAATTATAAATTTTCTCTTTTCCTTATGCACATTATTGTGACCTTGTCTTACTAAGCAGAAGTCAACTAAATAACTCAGTAGTTCACCCTAATTAAGCACCATGTGATGCCAGGAAGTTAAAAGCCAAAGGAAGAATGATTACTCAACTCACCGAGCTCCTAGGATTTTCCGTGAATTCACAGCTGCCTTCTGGGCTTTGAGAGGTGTGGGGCACACTTCCTTGTGACTCCATGCTGCTGCTGGTTAGATTTGCCACTTGAGGACACTTGGGGTGAGGTCCTACAAGAGTCACCATTGCAGAGGTGTTCTGCCTCATCTCTTCCTCAAGATTTGCACTCAACCCCTTTGGACACTTGCAAGTCCTGCACAGATTGGAAAATATAAACACTGGATGTGTCTCATGCTCCCCCAAATGACTGCAGGGTTCTTAAACAGCTTGCTTCTTAGAGAACGGTGACATCAGAGTAGAATGGTACATTAACACTGAAACTGAGACAGGACACCGACTGCATACAATTATTGGCTTAGGATTGTTCTCAAGAACCACAGCTACGCACAGAAGCATATTGCTGCAACCTTAGCACTTAGGAAGTGGATACAAGAGGACTGGGTTTAGGGCAAGACTGGACTATGTACTGAGTTCCAGGCCAGCCTCATCTACAGAGTGAGACCTTGTCTCAAAAGACAACAAGCAAACAAAACACAGTATGTCTATTTCTAGAGACATGCTGAACCAACTAGTGAATCAAACGGTATAGGATGAAGAAAAATCACCATCAATGATACGTAGCTTAACAGTTAAAATTGTTTTAATGCGCCTCTGAAGATTTATATTTCTAAGGGTAACTCTGCAAGATAATGGCATACTTGATAATTATTACCACTGCATATGAACATATTTAAATATCATGCTGTACTTCTAAAATACATACAACTAATAAAAGTTAAGAATCCTTGAGGCAGGTGTGGTGGCATAACACCTTTAATCCCAGCACTTGGAAGAAAGAGGCAAGAGGATCTCTGTGAGTTCTAAGCCAGCCTGGTCTACAAAGAGAGTTCCAGAACAGCCAGGGCTGTTACACAAAAAAACTTTCTTTAAAAAAAAAAGGGGGGGGTATGTCCATTAGACATATCATCCATACAAAAAGTGAATCAAGAAACAGGAATTAAATGACATCATAGGTGAAATGGACCTAGGAGATATTTATAGCACATTCCACCCAAACACCAAATTATAGACATTTTTCTTAGTAGCTCATGAAACTTCCTCTAAAATAAGTCATATATTAAGACATAAAACAAGTCTCAACAAATACAGGAAAACTGAAACAATGTCTCACTTTCTACCTGATCATGATGACATAGAGCTGTAAATCAATAGCTGGGAAAACTACAGAAAATATACAAACTCATGTAGCAACACACTACTGACTTATGAGTGGGTCTTTGAAGAAACTGAGAAGAAAAAAATGTAAATCCTAGAATTAAATAAAAATGAAAACAATGTACCCGGACCTGTGGAACACAATGAAGGCAGTCTTCTTAAGAAGGATGCTTACAAATCTAAGTGCCTACATTTCAAAAATCAGAGATCTTAATAGACAAACAAGAGACAAACATTAAGAAACTGAAAAAAGAGTAAACCAATCCCCAGAGCATCAGACTGATGGAAATAACCAAGATCAGGACAGAAAATAATGAAGTCGAAATGAACCAAAAACAATAAAGAGAATCAATGAAACAAAGACCTGGGTCTGTGAAAAGATAAAATTAATACATTTTTAACCAAGTTAACCAAAAGATACAAAGAAAATTCAATATATGTAATTATGAGTGAAAAGGGAGAGATTGCAATAGACACAGAGGAAATTCAGAGGAACATGAGAATGTAGTTTAAAATTTTTGTAGCCCACTAAATTGGAAAAATCTGGAAGAATTGAGTGAATTTCTAGCTGTATCTGACCTACCACAATTAAACCAAGATAAAGCAAATAATTTTAAAAGATACAAAGCTACAAATGAGATAGAAGCAGTAATTAAAAATCTCCCATGCAGATAATCCTGGGAAGGGGAAATGGATGAGATCTTCATGAGTATACTGGGGGTAGGGGATGGGGGATGAGAACATAAGGGAATGGGATGGTCGAGCTGGAACAGGGATGGAGTGGGAGAGCAATGAAAGAGATACCTTGATAGAGGGAGACATTGTGGGGCTAGGGAAATACAGGGTGCCAGGGAAGTTCCCAGGAATCCACAAGGATGACCCCAGCTTAGACTACTAGCAATAGTGGAGAGGGTGCCTGAGCTGGCTTACCCCAGTAATCAGATCAGTGAATAACTGTGGGAGCCTATCTGGGAGATCAGCTCCCACATTTTACCCCAGGGTACTCTTGAGAAATGAGAGATAAGAGATTTAGATTGAAGGATAGAGGGGAGAGAAACAGATACAAACACAGGATAGCCTCTGGAGGGCATGGATCCTTATCCACTGGCCCCTTCTGTCTCTTCTAAAGGGCTATTTATTGGAATGCCAAGGGGTGGAGCAAAAGACCTCCCCCTAGCTCAGCCAAGTGCAGACCCTTCCAATCACCTAGTGACCATGCCCACAGTCAAGCAGTCTTCTAATGCGGCTCTGCTGGGTAAAGGAAGCTCAGATCTCACTTGGAAGCCTTTGTGGGTCTCCACAAATACCCTAACTTCCATCATAGAGCTGTCTGTCAGCCAGTAACTGATGGAAGCAGGTGCAGAGAGCCACAGCCAAGCACCAGGCCGAGCGCCAGAAGTACAGCTGAAGAGATGGAAGAATTGTATGAGCAAGGGGCATCAAGATCATGATGGGGAAACCTACAGAGACAACCAAACCAAGCTAGTGGGAACTCATGAACTTTAGACCAATAGCTGTGGAGCCTCTATGGAACTAGACTAGGCCCTTTGCATAATCGAGACAGTTGTGTAGTTATCTGCTTAAGGAGCCCCCTGGCAGTAGGAACAGGATCCATCCCTGGTGCATGAACTGGCTATTTGGAGCCCAATACCTATGGTGGGACACCTTGCACAGCCTTGATGCAGGGGGAGGGACGTGGACCTGCCTCAACTGAATGTACTCTGCTGACTCCCCATGATAGGCCTTACCTTTTTGGAGGAGGGCATTAAGGGTGGGTTGAGGTGGAAGGCTGGGGGAAGGGGCAGGGTGGGAGGAGGGAAGAGAGGGGAGTCTGTGGTTGGTATATAAAATGAATAAAAAAATTCTTAATAAAGAAAAACTTAAATTAAAATAGTTGCAAACCTTCAAAAAAAAGATCTCCAAGCAGGCCTGAGCCAGCAGAGAACACAGACGGCTACCCTATTTCCCAGACTTCTTGGTTTCAGAGTAGGGGGAAGGATGAAGCCTGCACAAGTGACAGAAATTAGCTGGGTCTGGTCTTCTCCAGGCCTGAGCCAGTGGAAGACACAGATGCCCAACCCCCATCCACTCACCCACCCACCCCACCCACCCCGCCCCAGACTTCTTATACCATCATACCAAGCACTCCCCGAGGTTTCTAGGCCTGGGCATGTGAAAGAAGAAAAGCAACAGCTCCACACCATGCCTTGTGGCTGGGACAGGCAGGACTCCACCAAACACCACTGTGACCCAACCAAGAGCCCTGGTGCCGGGTGATTGGACATCATTATAGTGAGCGAGTACAGGGTGGGGAAATGGAGAAGAGAGAGCCAGAAGGGTTCATGGGCTGGGGAGAGGGGCAGATCTGAAGAGGTGGGGGTGATTAGGAACAAGCTGATGTGAATGGCTTGCTAGCCACCTGAGTTCAAGGTGATGTCCGGACCTGGATTATTGCCAAGGGCCAGGTCTTTGTCTGAGGCCAAGGGGACCTGTGCTGATGTCTGTGGCTCCTATTGTCACTGAAGGCAGTGTGAAGGCCTTGGTCTAGGCCACCACTTGGGGCCATGTTGGTGTCTGATGGCCATGTTGCTACAGAGGCCATGCCAATCTGGGTGGCTGTACTGCCTCCTGCTACCATGGAGTCATCCAGGCCCAGGCCACTGCCTAGGGCCATGTCTGGGTCCACAGCCCTGCAGTGGTTAGGATCTAGGGCAATGTCCATGGCTCCTGTTACCGCTGAGGGCTCTGCAGATGCCCAGGGTCTGGTCAGAGACCATGTTGGTGCCCTAGGGCCATGCTGCCACCAGGGCCCATGCTCATCCAGATGGCCTGTGCTGCCACCAGGCCATAGTGATGTCTGGGCCCAAGTTGCTGCCAAGGGCCATGTCTGGGTCCATGGTCCTTCTGTAGCTGGGATCTATGATGATGTCCATGGCTCATGTTAGCACAGAGAGTTATTGGAACCATGATACGCTGAGCCACACCCACCCTTCACTGGCCCTAGGATAGCTGGTCCTGCCCCTCACTGGATACTGCAGTAGGAGAGATGGCCCCCAGGGAAAGACAGCCCTACCCATCACCACAGGCATGCACCTCACCTGAGCAGCATACTAGAGCTGACCCCGTGGTTGGGGATGCAGGTGAGAAGACCCCGAGGGTATGTGAGCAGGAAAGCTGATCCCACCACCCCATCTGCCATGTGGTGGTGTGGGTGAGAGAGAAAGATGCCCCTCCCCCCCCACACACACACATTACCACCTGTGACAGGAGGGAGAACTGGCCCAGGCGTCACAAGAGTGGGAGAGCTAGCCCTGACCCTCCCTGGCTGTGGCACACAGGAGAGCAGGCTCTGTACCCCGTCTTGGTGGCACACTAGAGCTGGCCCTGTGTCTGGTATGCAGGTGAGCCAGCCCTGGGGGCATGAGAGCAGGAGAGCTGGCCCCCACACACCTCATCTGCCCCCTACAGCAATCAGGAGAGAGGGCTCTGCACCTGGTCTGGGCAAAACAGTAGAGCTGGCCCTGGTGGTGTGAGTGTGCAGTGTGCGTGACCTGGATCTGAGGATCTGAGAGCAGGGGAACTAGCCTGGTTCCTTGCTGCAGGCTGCACTGGGTGAGCTAGCCGAGGCAGTGCTGGAGAGCTCTCCTCTACCCAGGCCCAGAGCCAGGGCTATGAGTTGGCCCACCCCAACATCCACCTCACCTATGAACTATTGGAGCAGGTGAAGAGGACAAACCTACAGATCTCCATGACACAGGATGACAGCAGGAGCCCCAGTGAGAACCCATTATCTGTGGTGTAGCAGAAGCCAGAGACCTGGAGCCAGACCAATGACTCCTGGCAATGCACGTAATTTGTAAGTAAAGATGAATGGACTAAAGGGTAAACTGTGTGACTCAAAGGGCCACACTACAGCTTCCATGACAAGAAGCGCTCTCTCTCTCTCTCTCTCTCTCTCTCTCTCTCTCTCTCTCTCTCTCTCTCTCTCCCTCTCTCTGGTTGATTGGCTTGGTTTGGTTTTTCCTTTAAATTTGGTTTTGTTTGGGGGGAAGGAAGTTGGCAAAGAAAGAGGGTAGACGTGAGGAGTGGGGAGATAAGTGGGATTGGAATGCATGATGTGAAATCCACAAAGAATCAATACAAGTTAAAAAGAAATTTACACTAAAGATACTATTTATCTGAACACACACACACACACACACACACACACGCACGCACGCACGCACGCACGCACGCACGCACGCACACACACAAGCACACCTCCTGAGCAGGGCTGGAGAGATGGCTCCAGTAGGCTTCACTCCGGGGATGCAGAGATGATTCAATATATGTAAATCATTAAATGGAATTTACCACACAAATATGTCCAAGGACAGAAACTATGTGATCATCTTATTAGGTGCATTAAAGGCCTTTCACAAAATCCAACACCCTTTATGATTAACCCTGGAGAGACAGGGATGGAGAAAATACATGCAAAAAAATAAAGGCTAAGTATGACATGATCCTAGGGAGTATGGCCATGATCCTAGGGAGTGGAGAAAAACCTGAAGCACTCCCACAGAACAAGACAAGGCTGTGGGTTCAATAGTACCTGGAATATCAGCTCAAGCAACAGGACAAGAGAAGGAAATAAGAGGGACACATATAGGAAAGGAAGCTGTCAAAGTATTCCTGTTTGCAGATGACATGATTCCACACATGACAGACCCCAAGGACTCCACCAGGAAACTCCTAGAGCTAATGAACACTTTCAGCATTGTGGCCAGTTACAAAGCTCACACCAGTGGTTTTCCTACACACTGAAGACAAACAGGCTGAGGAAGAAATCAGGGAAACTATCCCATTCACACAAGCATTGAGAAATCAAGCTGGTACTACCAGGAAGCTTCCTCCCACCGGCTAGCTTTCATGGCACCAGAAGGTGCTGTGCAGGTTGATTGGGAAGAAAAGTCATCAACTGTCTTACCCAGCTGTGAATCCTGCAAGCCACACTAATGATCAGCATGGCAAAAGATGTGCCCATGGAAACAATAGTGGCATAAATTATGGGGGTAACCAACCACTTTCTGATTGGACATCTGGTCCACTTCACAAGCAGAAAAACAAACATGTGATGCTATGAGTCTGGTCAAGAAGTGATGGCTGGGGAGCTCATAGGCCCCGAGAAGTAAAACCCCTACTATTATTTTGCCAAATGGACATAGTACAAGACTGCCCTCTAAATTTGTATAGATTAGTGCAACTAACTCTCAGACCTCACTGGAGAAATATTTATGTTCAGAAGACAGTGGTTAATGCAGAAACTCACAATTGACCAAAGTACAGAGAATGAGTCAATGGAGTGCTAAGCCTTTATCAACCTCTCCCCACAAGGCTCAGAGACCATCTCAGAACAAATGAGAAAGACAGAGCGAAAGAGCCAGAGGTCAGGGAGGACTAAGGCAAACAGTATCTTCTAGGCACACCAGGACTGCTGCCTTCCTGAACTTGCAGCAGCCTGCACAAGACCAAGCCAGTCACATCCCAGCGTGTGTGGGACAGGGGTTTTCAAGGCCCCACACCAGAGGTGCTATTGACAGTTAAGGCTCTGAGGGTGAATCAGTTTGCTTTAAGGCTGTGGCCCCTGGGAGGTGGACCAATCCTCCAGCGGATGGCCCCAATCCCATGAGTATACCAGTAACAGAAATTAGACTTGGTGGGTTACAATTTTAAGGGAAAACAAACAAACAAACAAACAAAAGACAGGACACCCAGAAGCATTTGCTTCTGCTCTCTGTACGCTGCTCCCATATGAAGAAATCAAGCCTTTTCCACTGAGGAGGAATTCAGAGCCTAAGGGAGGCCAAGATGCAGATAAATTAAGAAACTGAAGCAGCCCAGGCAGTTAGTTCAGAACATCCTTACCAAGGTTGGAGGTGGGGCTGCATTTTCTGTCTGCCTTACACTCCTGCCCACACAGAACAAGGAATTAGTCTAACCAGCTGGGACTTCCACTTCCCTTCTGTTGTAGAATATTATTTTAAGATGTGTTACTTTTGTTTAGGTTGCATTTGTTTAACTCTGTGAAGCTGTGTTACTGTACCTGTCTAAAACACCTGATGGTCTAATAAAGAACTGAACAGCAAACAGCAAGGCAGGAGAAAGGATAGGCAGGGCTGGCAAGCAGAGAGAATAAATAGAAGGAGAAATCTGGGAGGACAAAAGATCAAGGAAGGAAAGAGGAAGGAGGAGGACATCAGGGGCCAACCACCCAGCTACACAGCCAGCCACGGAGCAAGAGTAAGATTTATAGAAGTAAGAGAATGGGGAAAGGCCCGAGGCAAAAGGTAGACGGGATAAGTTAAGGAAAGTTGCAAGAAACAAACCAAGCTAAAGGCCAGGCATTTTAAAGTAATAATAAGCCTCCATGTGTGATTTATTTGGGAAATAGGTGGCAGGCCCCCCAAAAGAGCAAAAAAAAAAAAAAAAAAAAAAAAAAAAAAAAACAGCACTTTTCAGTTCAGGGTTGGTCTTTGCTTGTATCCCAGCAATGAAGTCAGGGAGAGAAAAAAAATGCTCAAGGGCAGCAACTCTGCAGCTCCCTCTAGTGGTGACGCTGAGCCACAGGAAAGTTAAATTATCAGAGCCAGGATGCACCCAGGAGCAGTGCCAGCAGTTTAATTACCGGTGCCAGGATGTGCCCAGGAGCGGTGCCAGCAGCACTCGACAGCTTGGGTTTAGGTTATAATCCTTCCAAAGATCACTAAGCTTTTAATATATATATTTATGAAACACTGATAATCAGATCATCATAATAGCTGTGGTAACTAGAGAATTTTCATAAACACTTAAAAATCAGTAGATTAAATCAACTAGGTGAGACTACCAAGGTGGAAAATAGACGTAGAACGAAGAATAGAGGAGTAAGAAGTGTCCTGGATTAACATTTCAAAGCCAGGTCATTTGCCAACATGCCTTCCCAGAACTACAATATCTACTTAGCTTTCACAGTCCACAAGTCCAGGAACCCAGTTCACTAAGAACTACACTTTCTTTCGTGACCAGGCCTTGAGACTGGTTTCTCCTCGGCACTTCTCTCTCCCACTCACCTACTCGGAAGAAGTGAGAGTAAGGCGTTATTACTTCTTAGTTCTTTTAGATACAGTTCCTTGTACTTTTCCACTTCCATTTTGCAAGAGTCGTCCTGCATTCTCACTTCCGAGAGCGCAGATGTGAGCTTCGTCATCTCTGCCTGACTCCCCAGCGCGGCAGCATCCTCCCTCCTCTTCCCTGGATCGCCTTTGGGTGCTGCCTCCACCTAAGACACATCACAAAGGGGGACTTTCACAAATCGGAATGCAAGTAGCTGCTGTGAACTTGAATTGTTTTCAGTGTGGACTCATGACTCAGCAGCTACAAGTATGTATGCCAGAAATGGAACATACATTTTGAAAAGATACACTCTGAAGAAAATAAAGTGACCAGCAAAAAAGTTTAAAGGGACACAGGGAAGGCAGTGGGGTTTGGAGAAATAGCAATAACGGATAGTGACATATGTACGTGAAAATGTCACAGGTTGTCTGAATGCTACTAAAAAAATAACTCAAAGAAAAACACTACTGGAGTTTAAAATACTTTTCTTCAGTATCAAATGTATTAAATATGACTAATAAATATCTGTGCTGCATTCTTCACACATGCACACAGTCTGTGTGTGTGTGCGTGCGTGCGTGCGTGCGTGCGTGCGTGCGTGCGGTTTCTGTGGGCATGGATTGCTGTGCTTTCAAAACTGACCTTGGCACAAACTAGACGAGCTGAGCTGCATCTTCAGTCATAAGTTACCTTGTGCTAGCTCCTGTGTAATTTCATAGTTCCAAAGATAATAAAATCAATCCAGAAATTTTAATCACAAACACTGCAACCTGCTGAGCCCACCAGGCTCCAATTCATGGTCACAAATGGCCCTAGTTAATCTTACAGAGTCATAAAACAAATGGATATACAGGAATGAGAGAAGGAGATTTGTAGGGAGGGAGAAGAGTGGATGGGGAGAGAGGTGAGGGTCAGAGTGGTCATTATGCAATGCATAACATGTGAGAAATTACAAAAATAATTTTAGAAAATTAAAAATAAAAATAAAACAGGCTAAGTGTGGTATACCTTGGGACGAAAGAAGGATGGAAGCCACAGGGTTTTCAGGGGTGGTAGTGGGTGCCTGCCGGTGCTTCAGGAGATTGACTAGATGGGCTTGAAGGCTGACTAAGGGATGATCTTGCTACACAGCACTGAAAGCAAATCCACATGCAAGCTGAGCTGAAGAGCGATGATTGAGCGAAGAGCCTGGTCTTGCTGAGTCAAATACCTGTTTTTGTTTGTCCTCCCCACATGTCAAGTGACACACAAAGCTAAAATAAATGGCTTCTGAGATAACACCCAATCCAGGGAACATGGGGTCTAAAGATGAAACTGTGATAGTGACTATAAAACCTCTCATAGCTAAACCCCAAGGGTTTAGAGTGTTCCTTAATCCATGACAGGTTCTGGGGTTTTAGAATTCTCACAGCAATGTTCTAGAACCACTTCCTAGGAAGCCCAAGAGGCGAAGTTCACCTCTAAAGGATTTGCAAATGTAGCTTTTCAAGTTGCACAGAACCTGATGATTTTCATGGGACAGCCAAAGTCCTTAAAAGAACCAGCTTAGCAAGCATACCACCTGCTGGTCTGGGTTGAGAGAGACCCAGGAAAATAAGAGAGGGCTTTGGGTATTGGGAGTTCTCCAGTGCTGGAGTGGGCAGAGAAAAGAACTCAGATACAAAAATAGGCTATTGTTTTGAAAGTGGGGGGAGGGGAGGAGAGGAGAGGGGAAGAAAAGAAAATACCTGAAGAGATGGCTCAGCAGGTCAGTGTTTGCCCCTAAGCCTGATGACCTGAGTTCCATGCCAGGAGCCCCACAAGAATATCAGGAACAGTCAACACAAATGTCCCTCCCCTGATGTGTCTGTATAACAGGTCTGCATATTTCTTGCTATTAAAACTTAAACGAAATAGTGTATTAGTTACTTTCTCCCTTGCTACCATAAAGTGTCCTGACAAAGACAAGTTAAGGGAGAAAGGACCTTATTCTAGCTTACATTCTGAATGTTCAATCCATCGTGTCAGGGAAGACAGGGGAAGGATCCTGAGGCAGCTGGTCACATTGTATCCATAGTTAGGAAGCAGAGAGCAAGAATGGCAGCTCACTCTCTCCTTTGTATATAATCTAGGATAATATAACCCTGGGAAGGGTGCTGTCCCCTTTTAGGACAGGTCTTCCCACTTCAATTAACCTAATCAACATAATGCCTCACAAGATGTACAGAAGTTTGTCTCTTAGGGCATTAAAGAGCCTATCAAGTTGGTGACCAATGTTAACCATTACAGAGAGCAACTACTTCATTGGTCCAATGTGGTGCTTGTTAAGGTCCTGGAGAAGCCCCACAAAAGACCACCATCCATGTATACAATCAACAAGAGCATTTCATATCCGACCTTCCACTGTTGTGGAGCCAGTTTCCGATGCAATCACATAAGGGTCCTTTTATTTTCTGGGTCCGAGCCTGGGCCACCACATGGCAGGTGGAGGGAAATGTGGCAGTGGCAGCAGGCCCAGGAGTAGAGAGTTTTTAATAGGGAAAATCCACAAGCCTGGAATTACATGCTTTGACATCTTGGGGTCGGGTAGAAAGGATATGGGGCAAGGTGATTTTTTTTTTAAACTGTTGGTCTAGACTTTCAACAAAACCACATTTGAAACTCTTGGGTTGGACTTTTGGTGAGGAATCACAACTTGCTGAGCAGGATTATCTGGGCTGCTCAGCAGGATTATCTGGATGTCTTCAGGGCCATAAACCGCAGACAGGATGTCTGCAGGAGCATACTGTTCTGTATTTGTTCAAGTTGTCATGGCACATTCCTGAGGTCCTTCCTGGAACCGAAGGTGGTCTAAGATGGTGGCCCTTCCCTAAGATGGAGTCTGCACTGCCTTCACACCATCCCATACAAAGACCCTGAGAGGGGAGTGTCCAAGGAAGCAAGCTCATCTTAGATATGATTGGCTTATGCGAGTGGCAGTCGTGTGAGTAACTGCTAATTGGCTGGGGTTAGTTGGGGGTTGGTCTGGGCTACAGTTTTCCATATTTGAGCAGGTCTGGATAAGTCTCAGACTTTGTCCTTATTTGGTTATTACCTTGAGCTGTTGATTATGGGGGCTGGCTCAGTGGCCCAGGCTTGTTACATCCTGACTCCCTTGTCCCTGTGTCATGGGCACCAGTGATTGATTGCCCTTTGTGTTAGTATTCCGACCCGCCCCTTGGGGACCTGCCCAGCCCTCCTGACTCCCTTTAAGAAGAAAACTCCTCCCTCTTCGCTCTCTCTCCCCTTTCCTTCCTCCCCCACCATGAGGTGTGCACACCTCCGCTTTCCCTCCCTCCCCTCTCTTTTTCTCTCTCCTTCCTCTTTCCCTGTCTATCTTTTTATTGTAATAAACCCTCTCTCCACGTGGATGCAGTGCTCGGGGTGTGAGTGACTTTTTATCTTCATGGCGTTGCTGACTCACCCACTGAGGGGCATCTCGGCTCTACCCGCCAAACCCTCCCCTGAACCACATTACACTATGTTCGCTGTTCCTCTTTCGAAACTGCTTGCTCAGTTCCAAAAAGCAGGGACCGAGGCCTAATTCTTAACTGAGTTATTAGGGCAGGCTGTCACAATATTTGCCTAGCCTTCTCAGTGTTCACAATGCAACAGGGGTCAGCTTCCAGGAAGGAAAACACGGATGCCAGGAAGCTGTTCAGCTTGGTGTATAGATACACAGTTTTCATTGTATAGCAATCATATTTCAATCCTAGTGATACTGTGGAAACCAAAGTTACATTTTAAGTTTTAATCACTATACCTAAGAGATCCATGAAACAAAAATGCCTCTGATTTGCAAGCCCCTTGCCTAAGGACAGATAGTTCCTGAAATGCTGGAGGCTGTTGTTTATGGGAGATAACAAGGCACATGCTGTCACTCCCCTAAACAAGTTTGTTTGACCCATCTGCACTGGATGTGCTTGATCATCCAGTGGGTGGGAGGTTCACAGGCAGGAAATACGTCAGGATGTACACTTGCCCCTGATTGGATGTAGGCTGGAGGCACATCAGGATGCATGTTTGACCCTGCTTGGACCTGATGGGAAATTCTTAAGCAGCTGCAAACTCTGACATGGGGCCATTTTTTTTTTTCTGAGAAACCGGAGATGAACCTGGTCAGAGCCCATCCACCTGACTAGTATTTAATTAAAGCTTGCTTCAAATTTGGCCTTAAATTGTGGTAGTGGCCTTATTCTCAACTGGTGGGATTAACAATACATCCACCTTTCAGGAACGTGGACAGTTACATGGATGGGAATCTCAGACACAGATGAATGTCAGCATTAGGAGTACTAGGTTACTCTATGAGGCCCAAGACAGCCAAGAAAACATGTCTATTTTTTATTTTACTGAATAACTTTCCTTTTTAAAACCCCAAAAGGGGGAGGGGAGGGGAGGACAATTCTCTGGCACGAAAAAGGGCTTCTGTAAGACCCAGTATTTGTTCTTGATGAGGGGTAGAAATCATAAGTCACTTATCCCCCAAAGCTGTCACAGTTAGCTTTGGTCATCACCTTGACAGAGCTGGAAAGAGGAAACTTCAAGAGAGGAATTTCACTGTCAGATTAGCTTGAGGTACGTCTGTGGGGCATTTTCTTGATTGCTGATTGACATAAGTGGGTCCATGTGGGCCTGGGCTGCTTAAGAAATGTAGCTGAGCAAGCCATGGGAGTTGATCAGTAAGCAGCATCCCTCCATGCCTCTGCTTCAGTTCCTGCCTTTAGGTTCCTGCCTTAAATTCTGCCCTGACTTCCCTCAGTGATGGACTGTGACTGGGAGTTCTATGGTGAAATAAACGCTTTCCCCCCCCCCGGTTGGCTTTGGTCCATGTCTCAGTGAGGGTTTCTATTGCTGCAACAAAACACCATGACCAAAAGCAAGTTGGGGAGAAAAGGGTTAATTTGGCTTATTAATTTGGAAGTCAGAAGAGAAACTCAAGCAGGGCTGGAACCTGAGGGCAGGAGCAGAGGCCTCAGAAGGATGCTGCTCACTAACTTGCTTAACATGACTTGCTCCGCCTGCTTTCTACAGAACCCAGGCCCACCAGCCCAGGGATGGCACCACCCACCGTGGCCTGGGCCCTCCCGCATTGATCACTAATTGAGAAAATGCCTTACAGCTGGATCTCATGGAGGCATTTCCTCAACTGAGGCTCCTTCCTCTGATGACTCCAGCTTGTGTCAAGTTGACACGTACAACCTGGCCAGTACAGCCCGTGTTTTATCAGCAACAGAAACCAAAACTAGTGCAGAAGCTAACTGTGATACTCTGGCACTAAGAGAAACGCAGGATTCCACATCTAGCCACTACTGAATGTAAGAGTCATTTAAAACTTTTATCAGGGACTCAGCCATATTCACAACAATGTCCAAACAGCACTGTTGACAACAACCAAAATGTGGAAACCAGTGGGTGTGCCCATCAGTGGCTGGAGATATAAAACAGGACCATCACTATTTCTTATTAAAAATTACACCAAAATCATTTCTTATATTAATTAGTCAATTACTATAAAGCCAGAGGTCTTGCACCTCTACTAATAATAAATAATAGTAGCAACATAATTAAAACAAGTATTTTTATCAATATGCCTTTTCATAGCAGATAACCTACTCCTATGGAAAACTACTCAAGAAAGAACAGCATCTCTTTCCATACCAATGACATTAATGAGAAACCAGGGAAACTGACTCACCGCCTCGGCTCCCGCATTTAACAGTTTTTCCCAGAGGGCTTCCATTTCTCTTGCTTGCTTTTCAGTTGTGACGATTAAGTTGGAATTTTCAAGTTCAATCCTAAATATTTTAAAGGAATTGTTCTCACAGGTGATTTTAAATACCACATAATTCCTAAATAATTGTCTTAAAAGCAATTTTGCAAATTCTTTGAAAAACAAGATATTGGGTAGATGAATCATGTTCCTAGCTGTGCTGTGAAGTTCAGGGATCGTGTGGATAACTGCTTTCTCCTTTTATTTTTGTGGATGTGGATGAAACAAGGGCCTTATGCATGCAAATATACATTCTGCCACTCAGTTACCTCCCCACCCCCATGCAATTCTGTAATGCAAGTCAAATGGCTGGAAGCAGAAGTTTACCCTGGCCTTACACACATGCACCTCTGCTTGCGTGGATGTGTTGCTCACACTACTCTGTCTGCCTCATAAACACTCCAGCTGTCTTTGCAAGCTGCACGCAGTTATACCTCTGAATCCTATGGCAGATCATCTTGGCAGCTTTTAGTATCTCCAGTGCTTCTTGCAACTAGAACAAAGAACAAAGAGAAGCTACAATTAGACACGTACAAGCTGGTCCATCTCGTGTTTGCGTTCCTTTCTCAGATTTCATCGGAGCACAGACAGACCCTTCCTCTGCATGTCGTCCACAGTTACTCTGTGCTATAATTGACGAGCTAGCAGACCTACTGCTATATGGATCTGGTGATCTGTAAAGCCCAATATCACACTATCCGGCTTTCCCGGAAATATTTATGACCCCAGAACTAATGCTGAAACACATCATTAGTTTTTAATTATATTTTATCAGATGCTCAAGTTGAAACAATTGGTAAAATAGAGTATATTCCATGTGGTAATAATATATCTGCATTTTTACTTCCAAACATCTCCTCACCATAATTTGAGAAGCCATATCAGTGATGATAAAAACTAACATGATGCATTCCTTAGATGACATCTTAGTCACTGTTCTATTATTGTGAAGAGACACCATGACCACAGCAACCCTTATAAAAGAAAGCATTTAACTGAGAGCTCGCTTACAGTTTCAGAGGTTTAGTCCATTTTCACAGCAGTGAACATGATGGCGGGCATGACAGACTGGGCCTAGCATGGGCTTTGGAAACCTCAAAGCCCACTCCCAATATCACACTTCCTCCAACAAAGCCACACCTCCTAATCCTTCTCAAATAGTGAACTCCCTGATGACTGAGCATTCAAATATATGAACCTGTGGGGGCCATTCTCATTTAAACCACCACAATGTCTCATAGGATCATTTTCAGGGACAGTATCTACACAGATGCCACAATGCCTGGGTCTCCATCTCAACTCAACAGTCATGAGGTGAGGGATCCTGAGAAAGTTAATGTTTTGTCTTGGTTGCTTCATCTGTGATATGGAGATATTGATAGAAACCACTACATTGGATTGTCAAGGATATTGTTGGGGAATATATAGAAGGCATATTATAAGCTACATATAACATCTGATTCTGGCGTTAGCATCAAGATTACATTTTATATTCTAATATGCAAGGGGAGAGCTCTTCCTGGTGAGTCCTTTCTTACTTTAGTGAAAGTGTAGGCATATGAGGAATGAGACCCCTAATGCATCCTTAGTACTTCTTGAAATTTGGCCAATTATACCAGTGTTGTGCAGCTGTTTCCTCTGGATGGCAACATTCCTTCCTGGAGGAGAATGGGGATCTCGAGACTCTAGAGGCTCATGAAAATTACTAGGCTCAGGATGCCCACAAAACTTACAGGACCCATGGAGGCCCCTTCAGGAGATCAAACAATACCTGGGAGAGACAAGACTCTTCCACAGAGCTGCCTGTATGCTGTGCAGGAAACATCTGAGCTGTCATGCTGGGGTGGGCTTTTTGGGGATGCAGCTGTGAATGCTGATGATCTTCTTCAGCGATCGCCAAAACTCAATGTTGATTACAACCCATCTTGGGCAGCATTGTTGTTTTGGTATACCATTGTTGTTGTATCTGGTGTGAATAGACATTTAGTCACAGCTCCACAGAAGAAGCCACACAGCAACTGGACAGTAGTACTCCTGCCTACTTAGAATAGCCCATGCCTCCAGGATCTTAGGACTACTCAGCAGACTGCGATAGTGTAAGGCAGTGCCAATGGGACCTGCTGGAATAGGGGACATGGAAGTGACATGACCCAGAGGTAGGCTAAAGCCCTGATGGACTCTATTGTAGAATCAAAGGTCTTTATCAGTCTGTCCCAACCACTGTCATGTAAGGCTGCTTTGTCCCCCCCATGGGTGTTAAAGTGTTATGGAACAGTGCATAAAAGAAGCTGCTGCAGGGGGCTTACCCACCAGTTATGTGCTAAGCATCTGCAATCTCCAGTTCTGGCTACAGAAGGAAGGAATGCAGATATACATTTTCCCATTGTGAGGCAAATGGGAACATTTAATTAAACAATGTCCTATTCATTAAGTGCATTTGATTTTATACTAAATTTCTTAGGATATATTGAAAATAAAAGCTTCACTATATCCTGTTCTCAGGAAAAAATTATTGGTATGATACAGAGGTATGATATAGATTTTATCCTGTAATTTAAGCAAATATGTTTTTAGTTTATTTAAGAAAAAGCATCATATATCACCTGATATTCCTCCCAAGTTAACTTAGACAATATTTCCTCTCATGCAAAAATAATTAAATCAATGTAAAGTTGAAGGATAAACTGCTCTGAACAGACAAGTTCTACATCGACTTTGATAATCAGTCCAGTTGGAGAAGGCTTCGTGGAAGAGAAAATGGTGAGCCACTCCCAAATAAATTAGGCCAGATGAGTAAATACAGAGAAGACAGAAAGAACAGCATGAGGAAAGGCAGCTAGATGGCACTATGAATTCAGCTGGCTGGGAGGGCAAAACCCTGTAGCAAGGAAATAAGAAGAGGTCTACAGAGCTGGTGGAGCAATGTTCACAGCAGAATTACTAGCAGGAGCTGAACAGTGGAGCAAACTAATATCCATCAATCAAGGAACAGGCACATGGTACATCCACACAATGGTGTGTGTGTGTGTGTGTGTGTGTGTGTGTGTATGTCTGTGTGTGTGTGTGTGTCTGTCTGTGTCTGTGTCTGTGTCTGTGTGTTGAGACAGGATCTCATTAGGTAGACCTGGCCAGGAACTCACTACGCATGCCAGGCTGGCTTTGAACTTGAGCCTATCTTCCTTCTTCTGACTCCTGAGTGCTGGGATTACAGAGATGAACCACCATGCCTGGCCATACAAGAGATGCTACACAGTGACATAAAGAAATGAAGATGAATCCCAAAAGTACTGTGCTAACTAAAAGGAGTAAGTGATAGTCTCAATATTTTATGACTCTATCCATATGAAACACTTGGAACATTGGAATTAAATTCACAATGTATAGATTGGTGATTTTCAAAGAATAAAGAAGGTCGAGGGAGTAAGGGGCTAATGGGGTCTAAATATGTAATCAAGAACACAACCTACAAACACAAAACCTTGCTGAAACTAAGTAGCAAGTACAGTCTCACATATGTTATTGTGATGGTTTC